AGTGAGTGTTAGAGGGGCAGAGCAGAGAGCCTGTGACTGACAGTTACTGGCTCTATACTCAGTGACTACTGAGAACTGAGCAATCAGTGGTCTCTAAAGAATGGGAAACAGATGCAGCATCAGCCCAATGCTACATCCACCTAGGTGAGTATAAAAGTTCTCTTTTAAAGCTATACTGTTATTCAAAGTAAGGCGCCAGTACCTGTATAAAGTAAGTCCACTGACTCCAACGAGTTTATTCTCACCTCTACAGCACTCATAGAATTGTAGAAGAGTGACGGCAGAAAAAAGATCAAGTATTATTTTTATACATACATTTTTTGTTGACTTTATATATATAGATCTATGTTTGTCCCAAGCATGTTTGAATCAACATATTGTTGTACTCTATCGCAGCCTCCACCAAAATACCTGATGTCAGCTGATGTCCAAGCTCAGGGATATTGGCTTCTGTCATATGAGAGTGCTCAGACTTCGTATTTGGCCACTAGGCCCAAGCACCATGGGAGGAGGTCACATGCTCCCCATACCTGAAAGCACTGGATATTTTGTAGTGACAGCTATGGAGGAAGGAGCAGGACAAAAGTCTGGAGAAGTGATTAGTCAAGGTTTTGGATATCAAAAAGAGGGGAACGTGAAAAGAGATTCACAGAAAAGTGGTTACATCATGGACAGAATGCGATACTAGAAGTAGTTCCAAAAATTATGCTTTATTTCACAATACGCATGTAGACAATTAAGGTAAATACCTTGGTTCACCATCACCTCAGTGTGAGATAATACAAAAAACAGACAAAAAAGCAACATCAGGACCGGTCTTAGTAAAGATGTGTTGCAGATATAGTGACAATAGCCTAATACATCTGCAGCACCGACACATTGGTTACACCACCATGCAGGAGGTGTATCAAAAAATTGTGCCATATAGGCATAGCATACATTGCAATAATGGCTCATAACAAGTACCAAGTTATAATGATAAAGTTGCCCATAAACCTATACAGGTAATGTGGGTAAAAATACATATAGGGATGTGGTTAGCCTCTATGATAACCAGATAAAGTAGTGGCAAAAGTTAATGGCAAGAGTAGGTGGTAAAATATGAAGCCACTTGGTACTTGTTATCAGCCATTATTGCAATGTATGCTATGCCTATATGGCACAATTTTTTGATACACCTCCTGCATGGCGGTGTAACCAATGTGTCGGTGTTGCAGATGTATTAGGCAGCACATCATTACTAAGATCGGTCCTGATGTTGCTTTTATGTGATTTTAGGTCTGTTTTTTGTATTATCTCTCACTGAGGTGATGGTGAACCAAGGTATTTACCTTAATTGTCTACATGCGTATTGTGAAATAAAGCATATTTTTGGAACTACTTCTAGTATCGCATTCTGTCCATGATGTAACCACTTTTCTGTGAATCTCTTTTCATGTTCCCCTTTTTTTGATATATGTTTTTTGATTACTGGGCAGATAATTTATGTCTAGAGGTGCATGACATTTATAAGCCTCTGATTTTTTCCTCATTTTTCAAGGTTTTGGATTTACATAGACTTTAATAGGAGTTGTAAAGTTTTGAGTTTTTACATATTTTGAATGAATACTAAAGTGTTTTACTTGTAAAAAAAATGTAATTTTAAAATGACTGAAAATGGGTTTGAAGGATATTAAAAGAAATATAAAATATCTGTAAATGTTCTTACTTATCCAGGTCATGGTATGCCAAGTAATAGTCGTATTCAATTGGACATGTTCTGAAATGCTGAAAAATGTTTCACCACCCCCAATGGCTTCTTTGGTTCTAATGAGTGTTGGGAATATACCGTACCCCATTTATAGCCTCATGGATGACTCTGTCACCTTTATTCACAAGTTTTCACACCCTTTATTATGTCCATGGACATTTAACCCTGCTTTAACATATCTAATAACCCCATGGTAACTAGATTAATGTGACCGAGTTGATGGTATGGTTAATAATTCTGGGGCATTGGAACTGTGGAAGCCACTTTGATATGCAGTAAAATGTCTTCAGTATTACAGAATATGTCCAGTTGAATGTGACTGTGATATACCATCCCCAGAACAGGGGCTTTTGGAGGGGACTGCAGGCTAGCCCCGTGCCTACTGACTATGAACCGTGGTGTTTGAGGGGACTCTCTTCTTTGGGAGGTGTGTGCCTGGGGACCTTTGAAGTAGTTTTACTTCAGATTTAAGTCCATGTCTCCCTGAAACACACAGACTCTGAAAACTGGAGGACTCGGTTACAGATTTGGGCCCTTGTGTTTTGTTGGGGTATAGAATCAACAGCCCAAACGAGCACTGACTGCTTCAAACCCCTCCTAGACTCAGAGACTCAAAGCAGTAGATTATAATCATCTCAAAACAACCTGATGCTGGGGTCTCCCGCTGTTATTTGTAGTTTGTTTATTAAGGTGTTACGTGTTTACTGTTATAATGTGTACCTATGTTTGCCTATCCTGTTTAGGTGTGAAGTGTCTTTTCCAATTGTGTAATTTCCCCATTGTGTGCCTCCTAGTTGTGAATTTCCATTGTTAATTGAGTAACCTATTGTTCTGCCTGTTTGCTAATCCTCCTGCGGATTCCTACAGAATGTGACTAGTCTTGTGTCAACTTTTCCTTGTTACATAACTATTGTGGGATATTTACTCCAATGTGTAATATATGTTTTATTGTTCATGTGGTGACTGCCCCTATTTTTGAAGTGTATAAAAACCTGAATTTCTGTCCAATAAAGTTATTCCTTTGGTTTTACCTCAAAACCTTGTCTGTGTATGATGTGTGGGGGAATCTGCTGGTATTAGCTAATCTGCTGGAAGGGTTTGGAAGGCAGGAGGCAGGCAGTCCATAACAGTAACCACCTACTATTATCCATAATATTCTTTTATGTCTGAACTGTTTACATTTCTTCCCATGCCTAGCTCCTTAGAAGCCAATAGGCTCAATTCACAAAGCACAAAAATAAGTAGCTTTATTTTAGCTATATGACTCTCATTTTCAAATCTTAATATAATCAACTGAAAATAAATGCCACTTTTTTTTAATTAGTTTTGTGAAGTGAGCCTGTTGTGTTCATATTTTGCTCTGGTGTGGGATATAAACTGTAAATTGCTGTACAGAAAATAGTTAAAGGATTAGTTCACCTTTGGGAACATGTTACATGTTCCCATAGCTCCAAACATGCCTGCCACCCCCCTCCCCCTCCCTCTGAGAGATAGTATGGGGAGAAGTTTCCATAGATCCAAGATATCCATTTTGACCTATTTAACTGACTACATTCTCAAGATCTAGCCTGTAAGATTAAACCTCGTTAAGGTCTTCAGTCATGTCTTCTACTGGGTCGCCTATCTGTGGGTTTTGTCAAAATGCACGTTATTTCTATTCCATCATGACTTAGGACAGTCTGGGAATCACTATTTACATAGCCACAGCAGCTGAAACTGAATAGCTATAAATCAGAAATCTTGGCTGAACAGTTGGCCACTGGGGAAATATTCAAATCAACAACAGGAGCAGAATGCATGCCTGCAGAAACTTTCAGAAGCCTTATTGAGCACCTCTAGATCCTCTAATAAACAGGTGCTCTTATATGTCAATATCAGCATTTCCTGGTAGAGGGGAGAACTGTCCTGCTTCCTTTTGCCTCTTTTATCATCTTAGGGCCCAAAGGAGATATGTGAGTTTGGAGAGGGTCTTCCCGTTTTTTGACTAGCTTTGTAATTTCCATATTGGAGCTTAGATTCATGGAGGACTTGAACACTTTCACTTGAGCTGCATTCTACTCCTCAACTCTGTTTAGATCAAGGGCGGACTGACAACTCATGGGGCCCCTGGGCAATAGGGGATCATGGGGCCCCTGTGTCCTTGCCCGAACTCAAAAAAGCCTATGAAAAAGGTACCAGGGGCATCTCGTGGGGCCCCCGACTGACCCCGGGCCCTCGGGCAGTGCCCGAGTTTCCAAATGGTTAGTCCGCCCTTGGTTTAGATATTAATGTTATAGAGAGGTATACAAACCTCTTGCTATATAAAGTTCTTGAAACACACTGGCTATCTATTTTTATTTATCTGCAGCACTCTCCTAGGTACGGTGCTAGGAGTGAGGGAAATCTAGTTTTAGGCTAAGAGACTAATGGAGACTAATTGTGTTTGCCTACTCTGGTTCTGCAGTTGCAGACTTGTCTGTCTCCTCCTGTCATTCAGGGGTTTGCTGGAAACACAGTGAGCAGGAGAGGGTTAAGTCTGGGATGGCTTTGAATACTGTCTCAGCCAGTCCCTGGCTGAAAAGAATGGCCAGCAGGGGGCTGTGAGGAGTATATAAGACTGAGATCAGAGAGTGTCAGGGTCCTTCGCCAGCAGGAGATAGACCCAGTCTGGAAATGCTATCAAACCTTCCTAGGCTTAGGAGGTGCCTAAAAGAAACCCCAGATGTCTCTAACTCACCAAGGAGTAGAAGAGTCATCCTTTTAAAGTCGCAGGAACATCAAAGCAACATTCAGAGTCATTCTTTCTGGGATACCTTGTGACACGGATCACAATGAGTAGGCTGCAGAGAATCCTGACAGAGTGAGTGCTGCTTGTGCACCCCTTCTGGATAGAGGGACTGTTCCGGATCTAGCAGCCAGGGCCGCACCTTAGAAGAAGCCCCCCTGTGCTGAATGCTGTTGCTACCCTTTTGTGGAGGAAAACTCTGCTTTGTGTTGTTCCATTGTTTCAAGATAGTGTCTTCAGCAAGTTTTCTTGTTCCAGGCATCCCAAAGCTTTTTCCAAACCCTATCCCAGTTCTACCAAATAAATAAAACAACGCAAAAAGAAGAACCCCTGCCTGGTTACTGTCTGAAGATTGAATGAGAATTGATACCCCTAGACAGAGATACCTTGTGCCTTGCCACTTGTACACTTAAGAGGACAGAACCTGGGATTAAATTGACAGACCAAACTGGTGTGTGCGCTACATATCAAAGACAGTATAATTACCCATGGCAAAGAATGGTATTCCCAGCAGAGTCGAGTTGTATTTTCCATTGGTAACGAAAAATATCCCTGCCGCGGTGACACTGGAGATACAGATTGTTAGTACTCCAAGTAGGCCCAGAAAAGGCTTGCTGCGTAGACAGTCTTTCATAGAGCTGGAGAGAGTGGCAGCCAGAAGGACCAGCATGAGACTCACCACTATCTTACTTCTAGACAACTCTATGGTTTTCTGGAAGTCTCTGAGCAAGCTGAACGACGTCATTGAATATAGTTGAATGTCTGGGTGTTCCTCTTGCAGCTGGTGAATTAGTGTGCAAAATTCATTTTCCCACTGCTCATTAATGTGGTCCTGGGTCACAGAGCCATAGTTCTGGAGGTAGTAGGTCATTTGGATGGCTCTGGCGGATTTGACCCGCTGATCCTTGCTGTTCGGCACTTCGGCAACACCACCCAGCTGGTGTCCAATAAAACTCTGCCGTCCATTCTGTATAGAAATAAAGCAAAGAGCTATGTTAAACGGGTTGCATAGACAAATAATGATAACAAGTACAGTAGACTGGAGAAGTTAACATTAAAGGAGATGTATGCTCTTTAGACCCTACTTCTCCTGTTGGTCATAAGAGTTCACTTTGTTCTGGACTCCTGTGACCCAGATTCAGCCAACAGTGGGCTAAACTCCTCTGTCAGCTGACATCACTAAGCTGGTCCAGACTCTGAAAGGACCCTGACTTTATTGTCAGGATCCACACAGATGCCTCACCAGCAGCTGGCACAGCTCCGCTAAGAGCTTGAGCCATCCGATCCTGTCCACTCCACAGCCTGGCACACTAGTGAGCACTGGAGGGGCACAGCAATCACCACTCTCTGCTCACTGAAGACTGAGAAGTAAGTAAGCAGCGGTCATATGATTACTTTAGTTTTTTTCTGCAGCTGGCAGGCAATATATTTTTTAATTTATAGCAAAAAAATGAAGTTCAAAATTAACTCTAAATTAAAAAAGCCAAATACAAAATCCCAACTGAAAGTGAGCACTTACGTATAAGCATTAGTATGGAAGAAATTTTTATTGTGTTTCTATGTCTTTACACCTGAAAACATATTTACGAAGCATCAGTCTGTGTCATTATTGCCTTCTAACTTTTCTTTTTTTCACTTACCTGTTGTATGTTTTTATTTAAATAACCTTTCTATCTGTAAGTTCTTTATGTAAGCACAGATAAAAGAGACTGTTGCCCTGATCAAGGCTATAAAATCAGTTTTACAGCAGCTCTGATTGTTGTCTTTGTAAGCGAAGTAGATGTCCGCAGGCCCGAATAATTTAACGCTCGGTGGCTGTCTGCATATGAATATATAAAACATCTGTAGACTTTATTGGGTTTGTTATTCTTTATGGATACGCAGTGCACCATGCACAGTAATTTATAATTTGACAACAATTCAGAGCCATGTTACCCTTCCCCGTAATATACTCTATATATAAGCTATATTGCCAAAAGTGTTGGAACGCCTGCCTTTGCATGCACATGAACTTTAATACCTACAATAGGAACCTCTTGCGCTACTATTTAAGCAATAAATTCTAATAAGAGGGATGCAAAATGGAAGTATCCTCCTGCGCTTAATACAGGTAAGATCCCCAAAATAACAGCTGCTGTCACTCTACCTTAAACCATTAAGTTACCAATTGTATAACCTTGAATTAGTGAAGCGCTAAAATAATAAATCTATACACATATTAAAGTGCCATCAATAAAATTGCTTAGTAAACAGCAATAAATTAAACCTTTCTATAGATCAGTGAAACACTATAAATAATATATATACACCTAATTGGCATTACTAGCTCACGATGGTATATATAAAATGAACTAATCCCTCCATATATAAATTAGTGATAAATAATATAATCCGTGATAAAGAAATATATATCTACAATTATTTCATACATCAAATCAATAAAAAATAAGTGATAAATAATTTAAGTGAAAAATATATATCCAATTGATTCATGAAAAATCATTTGATATACTGATCTTTGTGATTAATACACGTAAACTTTCAATGTGCATATACAAAAAAATAACCAAATAAACCAAAAAAATTAAAAAAAAAATTGCCAGTCATAAAAGCATGATTTGTCACTCCAGAGAACACGTCTCCACTGCTCTAGAGCCCAGTGGTGGCATGCTTTACACCACTGCATCCAACGCTTTGCATTGTACTTGGTGATGTAAGGCTTGGATGCAACTGCTTGGCATGGAAACCCATTCCATGAAGCTCTCTGCACACTGTTGTGCTAATCTGAAGGCCACAGGAAGTTTGGAGATCTTTATCTATTGACTCTGCAGACAGTTGGCGACTTCTGCACACTGTGTGCTTCAGCATGCACTGACCCCGCTCTGTAATTTTACGTGGCCTACCACTTCGTGGCTGAGTTGCTGTTGTTCCCAGTTGCTTCCACTTTATTATAATACCACTAACAGTTGACCGTGGAATATTTAGTAGCAAGGAAATTTCACAGATGGACTTATTGCACAGGTGGCAACCTATCACGGTACCACGCTTGGAGTTACTGAGCTCCAGAGAGAGACCCATTCTATCACAAATGTTTGTAGAAGCAGTTTCTGCATGCCTAGGTGCTTGATTTTATACACCTGTAGTCATGGAGGTGATTGGAACACCTGAATCCAATGATTTGGAGGGGTGTCACTTTTATACTTTTGACAATATAGTGTGTGTGTGTGTGTATATATATATATATATATATATATATATATATATATAAAATGTATTTATTTATTTTTATATTGTATGTATGTATATATACAGTGTGTATACTGTATATATTTTTTTTCCTTGAAAGCAGAGGCCGTGGAGAATAAAGGTGGTACTCACACATTTTCACTGAATTTTATACATGGGCCTTTTGTGATTTCGAGAACTGCACTCGAGGCCCACCATGTCAAGAACGTTGACCACCACTGACTTAGATTCTTACCTCCCCTGCTGCCTTCACTGCTAATCTCTGGAGTATTAAGGAGAATTAGTCAGCTGAAGAACCTTCAAAAACTGACACTTCCAGGACTGTTGAACCCTGGTCCCTCACTTTGCTCTGTGGTCAATCTACTAGACCCTACTGTGCTCTGTAGTGATGTAGAGGTAGGTGGAAGAAACCACAAAGCTTTAACTTTAGTAGAGGAAAAAAAATCAGGTTTCCTGCCCAGAGCTGTGCAAATCTCAGGACTGGATGGCTAGAAATACAAAATTGGCAGGTAAAACAGCTCCCTTATATGTATTTCAACCATGTAGTTTGCTGTCTGACTGGAGACTTTAAGCAAAAAAGAGGGAAAGGAGCAGGTAGACATTCTCTATGGGTGTTTGTTCCCTATAAAAAACAGCTTTCACAGTCACAGAATATTTTTTCCTGGCTGAATCCTGACATTTTTTTTTAAACCCCACTATTTCAAACCCTGAACTCTCCCCAGCTGCAGATGACTGGCAGTTGCTGGGCTCCTCTGCCTCTGCAAATATTGGAAAAACACATACCAGTACATCGTTGGACCTCAAACAGGTGATACCTGCAGCTGCCCTGGCACCATTTTTTAGAGCGAGTGGTTGGCTCTTGTAAAAGCAATCGGAGTGGCTAACTAGATGCTCAATTGCTTTTACAAGCAGCGGAAGGGGACTCCACCCCCAACCCCCCACTGCCTTCTCCTGTCCCACTTGAGTGACTATCCGGGACATCCACAGGCTGGCCAGACAGCCAAACAAAGTCGGTATTGGCTTTGATCTGCCCTCCGTTATAGTAACCCGGATGCGATGACCTGACATCACTTCCATTTTACTCAGCACTAAATGGCACCATTTAAAAAAAAAAAAAAAAAAAAAAAAAAAGCATCCCTCCAGAAAGAGTACCTGTCACATTCCTATTGCTGTCACAATGTATGTATACATTCCTTGTGACAGCAATAAAAGTGATACAATTTTTTTTTAAAAAACGACAGGGTAAAAAAAAAAGAAAAAGATAATTAATAATAAAAAAATGTAAAGTGCCCCCGTCCCCCTATACTCGCGCTCAAACGCAACAGCATGCACATATACAAACAGCAATTGTGCCACACATGTGAAGTATCACTGCGAACGTCGGATCATGGGCAGTAATTATAACACTAAAGCACTAAAGTGGTAACCTGTAAAGACTTTTAAAGCCTCGACTATGGATAGTAAAATTTATGTTGGTTGTCACCTTTGCACGGGCAAATAAAGCAAGCGCATGTACAGTATGATCCCCCCCTACATCTTATACAGACAGTCCAAGGTATTGGGCCATATTGGTTTATAATTGCCCGCATGGACAGTGAGATAACAGTGTCACATGACATTTTATAATAAACAATTGAACATTACTCCTTGTATCTTACAGGGAAAATGCCGCTAACCTAATTATCACCCCAACACTTTCTGATTTTGTTATGTTTACTGTATAGATTATATATGTCAGATTCAAAAGTATCTAGCAAATAACAAATCATTAACATCAACCATGCTGAAACAGGGGAATTCCACGTGATATAGCTCTACAGAGAAAACAAGATATATGATGCTGGGAATTAAAAATGTGCTAGAGTAAATAGTGTAATTATATAGTCTAAATGTGCCTTCACGAAATAATGAACCATGCAATTCCAGATGTTGACTGTAATGGCAAGTCTGTTTTTCATGTTAAAATCTGATGCTGCTGTACACATTTCTGTGATGGGGTGGTTGGTCAGGCAGTTGATCGGTCTACTCAGTATTGGCCTGACCTTGCTCCTTCGTGGGCCCAAGACTGTATAAAGGCATTCTGGGTGACTGAGGGTAGAGGATAACTGGCAAATTTGTTAATGACCCCATCCCCCTGAGTCTGAGCTGTACACTTCTGGGTGCAGAGCTGCAAAGTGGAGGCATTATCAGTGGTTGTGTGGGCAGAGGATTGGACTTCCCAGTATCAGTGCCACCTTGCTCCTTCATGAACCCAAGACTGTATAAAGGCATTCTGGGTGGCTGAGGGTAGAGGATAACTGGCAAATGTGTTAATGATGCCATCCCACTGAGTCTGAGCTGTACACTTCCGGGTGCAGAGCTGCCAAGTGGAGGCATTATCAGGGGTTGTGTGGGCAGAGGATTGGACTTCCCAGTATCAGTGCCACCTTGCTCCTTCATGAACCCAAGACTGTATAAATGCATTCTGGGTTGCTGAGGGCAGAGGATAACTGGCAAATTTTTTAATGACCCCATCCCACTGAGTCTGAGCTGAACACTTCCAGGTGCAGAGCTGCCAAGTGGAGGCATTATCAGTGGTTGTGTGGGCAGAGGATTGGCTTCCCAGTATCAGTGCCACCTAGCGCCTTCATGAACCCAAGACTACGGCGAAGGCAGCCTGGGTAACTGAGGAAGAAGGATAACTGGAAAATATGTTTATGACCTCCTCCTATTGAGTCAGAGCTGAACACT